GCGCCTGTGCAGCCCTCATCCACCGCCTCCCCCTCCTGCCCGGAGGGGTTTCGTGCTGAGGCAGCCGTGCAGCCGGCACAGGGCAGGCAGCCGGCCCCGAACTGCTCTTCAGGGGCCACCTCTGTGCCCCTCTCCCTTGCTGCTGCCCGTCGATAGCCTCTGACCGCGCGTGGATGAGGCTCCCGCTCCGCACTGGCTGGCACTCGCCTCCCCGGGCTGGTTCCTGACACCCGCGTCTCCTGGCAGGCGCCGGGGCAGCGAGGGAAGATGTGTGCTTCAGAGCTCGCTGGCTCTGCTCCCTCGCCGGGCTGGGGAGCCGCGCAGCCACACCTGGGGCTGCAAGCTTTAGATGTCTCGGGAAGCTTTGCCTGCCGGAGACTTTTTGCCAAGGTAGGGCAAGGCATGCAGAGAGATAAACGCGTGTGTGGGCTCCTGCTTCTTTGAAAGATGCCTCCTCTCCTGCTGGCTATGTCCCACCTGTTGAGGTTCAGCCGTGCTGCAGGAGCGGCTCGGCCGCTCTCCGGGGCAGGGCTGGACTGGGGAGGGTGCGGGGGGGCTCACGGTGGCAGCGGTGCCTCCTGATGCAGGGTGCAGGGCGCAGGGTGCCGCGCCAGCGTCGCCCCGTCCTATTGCTGCTTGAGACTGGCCCGGGGGCTTTGGTGGGTGCTGGGGAGCCATTCCACCCGCGGATGGGACGGCGGGTCCCGGTGCCAGCCTGCAGGAGCACGTTTCCCCCCACCCCTGAGCAGTCTCCTTTATCTCCCCTCCAGTACCTGCTGGGATTTGTCCCCCTGCAGCCCCCCTCTGGCTGGCTCAGACACCAGGCAGCAGCTCATAGTGCCGGGAGCAAGGGCCGCTGCATGCCCCGTGGACGCCGTCCTTGTGCATGGCGCCGCTCTCCTTCGCAGCCCACTCTTGTTTCCTCCTCCTCTTCTTCCTCCCCTTCCCCTCCCAGCGCCTCTGATATCCGGGTGCCATTATCCTTATTCGACAGGCTTGTTGAAAGTTGACACAAAGGCAGGTTGGGGAGTCTGCCGGCAGCGTGGAGCTGGCTGCTGCCATAAACAACCCCCCCCCGAGCTGGACTCTGCCTGCCCTGGGGCTGGAGAGGGCTCGGGGTCTTTTGTCGTGGGTGTCATCCCCCACGCCCGAACTGCCGGGTGCGGGGCTGGGAGGCCGCTGGGACCAAACGAACCAGGGTGAAACCCTGCAAAACTGTGACTCCTTCTGCAGGCAAGGACATTTCTGAAACCTGTTCTCCTTGCATATTCACACCCCCTAAACAGACTACCAAGGTGAAATTCAAATTTTCTATCCAGCTCCAGGACCTGGAAACCCAAATTCCTCTGCACTCATAGCCGATGTCCAGCTGGCTGTTGGCAGCCGACCTGGCGGTTCCCAGGGGTTCATTACTGCTGCTGCTGTGATCGGACTTGTCCTGCCTCCAGCCCTTTCACAAGCATCTGGTCCTTCTCTCTCAGACTCAGTAAACCTTTGGAGAGCCCGTTTACATTACGGATAGCCTGATACATTCAGCAAGAGGCAATATATCAGCAATTTAGTTATTGAGGATTAGGTCTTGAATATCCCGGGGATATAATGTTGGTCTTTCTCACCTTGCATGTAGGAGGACTAATGGTAAATTATCTGGATGGTTTACATTTTCTGGTTTGCATTGGAGCTCCCAAGGACCAATTTATCCTGATTGAATTGCAAACAAGGCTTACTGTCATCTCAGAAGCAGGGGCCAGGTCTCTCCATAAATGAATTCAGAGCAATTCAGGTTACCCCAAATTCTTCCTGTCGATGGGATAATGGCATAAATCCTGCTAATGTTTAGACTGGAAATTGTTTGCAGCAACCTGAGCTTGACTGATGGCTGCAATAGCAGAAAGAATCACAATTTGTGTCCTGAGGTAAGGGTGGGAAGAGCTGGAAGCCCGGCCCTTCTGCGGCAGCGTCTGCTGGTGGGCATGCCGCAGACACTGTGTGCTTGCAGGGAGGTTTTGAAACATGAGGATGTTACTTGTGACCCGCCTTGGCACTGGCTTTTCAGCATCCAGGATGCCAGTAGCTTTTCTGTGCTGAGTGGGCAGCTGTGGCCGGAGGCCCAGGCTCTCTTTGGGCCACAAAGCAAGGAAACAAGGAGGAAAAAGTGTGTGTTTGTCTGGTTTGTGTTGTGGCCTCAAGGTTTCCCATGGCACTTCCCTGCCCTTGCACTGAACAAGCCCTGAGAGATGGGGTATGTGGTGGCGGCATAAACTTCACGCTGGCTCTTGGCACGCTGGGGCTGTATTTGCTCCCTAAGAATATCCCCGCTGCTGTCTCCGCACCGAGGGGACTTTGCCTAAACTGTGAGTGTTGTGTAAACACTGCAGGACGCGGAGCGGGTTCAGCCTGTACTTCCTGCGAATGCACTTCACCTGCAAAGCCGCCGTAATTAAGAATAAGGGGCAGCCAGGCCGGGGTGGTGGCACCGTGCTCCCTCCAGCGCAGCTGGCGCTCAGCGCTAATTTGGGGAGAGTTTGGGCCGTGCTGTACTGACGCTGCCCTGCTCACACCAGCTAGCATCCCTGGGGTCCTCTGGCTGTGCCGTGCCGTACGTTGCCATACTGTGCCAGGCCATCCGTCCGGAGGGTCCGGCTGCCTGTGCTGCCTCCCCCCCGCACAGGGGAGCCCCGTGCCGTGCCCAGGTCTCTGCACGTGAGCACGGTGCGGAGGGAGGCTGCGGGGCTGGGGTGGGATCCCCTCCCGGCACAGCTCTCCGCTCTGGTAAACACTCCCAACAGCCCAGCTTAAGCACTTGACAGTGTTTATAAAGCAGCTTGCAGCAAACAGACTTGGAAGTGCAGAACAAGTTGGTGTTTACACAAGCAACTAATTATTTATTTGAAAATCCTGTGGATGAGCTGCGGGCTGTAACGACAAGCACATGGGGAGCGCTGTGCTCCTGCCCCAGCAGCGCTCGGCAGAGTCGCGGCAGGGACACGGTGAAAAGTTCAAGGCTATCCGGGCGGGAGGACGATGGCAGCGCTCTGCAGCACCTGATGGCCTGCAGGTCTCGCCGGCACACATGAGCCAAAGCTGCTGTGAGGTGCCTGCTCCAGGGCACATCTCGGTGTGGAGGCACGTGCTGCTGCAAGGTCCAGCAGTACCTGGGTCACATCTCCCAGCAGCAGCTGACTCAAGATGCTGCCAGCCCACTACGGCTGCTGTGGGCAGCCCTCTCTGTTCAGGTATTTTGCTGCCGTAGCCATAACCACCCTACAGCTGGGCCGGAGCAGGGGAGCTGCTCCAGCCGGTGGCCCCTCAGCAAGTCCCCCACCCCACGGTGGGCACGGGAGGGGGCCGGCACCCCGGAGCCTGTGTCCGTCCCGCAGGCAGTGCGCGGGCTGCAGCCGGGCTTCGTTCCAGCACCGTCATCACTGGCCATTTGGGGCATCGGCGATTGCGCAGTTATTATAAAGGGATTAAAACCATTTTCTGTTTCATTTGACTTCACAGAGTGAATGTTGTCGCCTTTATTCCCACACAATGGCAGCCGTTGGCAGGGCTTCGCTCTGCCAGCTGCAGAGAGAAGAGCATGGCCCTGCCTGGCAGCGCCAGAGCTCTCGGTGCAGCCCCGGAGGTCGCCCTTCCTGCACGCCAGTCACAGGGCACACGGAAAACCACCTCCCAGGTCATTTCCCGGGGGAGCAACAGCCCTGCCTGCACTGCCTCTCCCCTGGAGTCGGGCAGCACAGCCAGCAGGAGCAAGGTCTCGGATGCTCCAGGGCAAGGATGGGGCACGCAGCAGCTCCCGGGCTGGCTGCACCTGGAGCCCTGCGCGCTGGGCTGCCATCCGGCAATTTCCTGCTGCACTGGGCTTCCCTTTGCTCTCCAAGAAGTTCATGTGGAACAGTTGGTTGGTTGCCCAGCCTGTCCTCCTGGCATTGCCGTCTCATCGCCCTGTCCTGCCACACACGTCGGGCAACTCACCACTGCAGCTTGGCAAGGGTAGCGCGGCACATACGGCTGCGCTCACTGCCGAATGCCGGGCTTCCTCCACCGGCAGGGCCGTGCGAGAGCCAGCGAGCCCATGGCAGAGCAGCTCCTGCGCTCTGTCCCGCTCGGCACTGCCTCTGCCCACGCAGGCAGCGCTGACCCTTCCCTGCCACTCTGGGGGAGTGGGAGCTGGGAGGTTTGGAAATTCCCTCCGAGCAGAAACGCGGCGTTTCGGGCAGCTCGCGGGATGATCCCGCCCCGTCCCCAGACAGCCCCGTCTCTGGCTTGGGACTGCAGGCTCGCTTTCTGCTTGGCTCGACTACCAGCCCCAGAGGTGCCCACTTGATGGGAAACATCTTGTGCACTTGGCAGTCTGCAGAGGCCATCTGCTGCTCGAGGAGGGGTGGCCGAGGGGGACTGGCACTATTTTAAACAAGTTACAGCTATAACCGTATGCAGCATCGGCAGATGGCAAAGCTGCGTTAGGCGTTTCTACGTGTGCTAACTGTTATTAAGCAACGCAGTGGCTTGTGGATAAGGTTGGAGGGCGATTCGCCCCACGCCACTCCGGGTGCCGCCATCTGCCTGCACTCCTTGCGTGCCGCTCCCCCGGTTTGCTCCACGGCTTCTGCGCTTGCCCGCCGCAGTGCCGAGCCCAGCCGTTAACGGGAGAGATGTCGACTGTCAAGTTAATCTGTTCTCCTCTTCCTTTGCAGTTCCTGCGAGTGCATTTGGAAACTGCAAGCAGCTAACGCTCGCTGCCAGAGCCCCCAGATGGGACTAGAGCCAAGCTCCTGCGCTCCTTACGGGGATGAAGGTAGAGCCATGTTACCTGCTACCTAAGCTCACTGTTGCTGATGTAGTTTGTGGATATGGTCCCGTACCAGGTTTCATGCACAGACTCTCAGCTCTGATCCTGCCCGAGACGTTTTAGCGGCCGCAGAGAGATCCCCAGCTGTGGAGCGGGCTCCTCCGACCACCCTGCGACAGAGGGTCTGCAGCGCTGGAGAGTTACTATGCAGCTTGGACTGTTTGTGGTGGTGGTTTTTCTAAGCTCGATGGATCTCACAGGCAGCAGCAAAGTGGTGAAGGGCAAGAGGCAAAGACGAAGTATGTATGAAATACTTTTCTTCTCTACTTCTTCTCGTGATGCTGTACGGTTTGTGCAGGTGGTGAACGTGAATGTGAAAGTTGGTGAATGTCTTACCAACGCAGAGAGCTGGGCAGAACCCGGGGTGCCCCACGAGCCTCCGCAGCTCCCCAAGTCCCACTCCCGTGCACAGACGTGCACTCCCCTGTCCCGCCGGACCTGCCGCAGCCCTGAGCTTCAGGCAATTGCCCCGGCGCCCTGGCAGCTGCCCCCACTAACCCCGCAGGCAGCGCCGGGCAGGGATGGGGAAGAGCTGCCCTGCAGCCTGCGGCTCAGGGCAGGGACCGGCTGGCATTGCTCCCCAGGGCTGCGGCCCTCGGGTAAGCTGGTGCCCATGGCAGCGCTCACGGCTGGAGGAGTTGGCTCTGCAGAGCAGGACAGGGTCGACCTCCCCGCTTCCCGGAGCGCCTCGACTGCCCCGGCCCCTGCCCGCCTTCGCCCCCACAGGCACGGATCTGGCAGGCAGCTGTGCGCATCCCATCCTGCACCCCGCCGAGGCCGGCAGCCTCGGGGTCCCCCGCCATGGTCAGGCACCTTGCTGGGAGAAGCGAGCAGTAGAAGGAGGGGAAGGGAGCATGTGAGCATGAGCCGTGCATCAGTCCCCATCCGACTCCCCAGCACTGCTCTGCCAGCAGGCTGCCGCCCCGCACCGTCCTTTCCCCGACGGCCACCCCATCCCGCCCGGAGCCCCCCCAGCAGGTTCTGACCCGGGCAGCGGCCGTGCACGGGTGCCCGCTCAGCTGCTGCAGGGGCGTTGGGCCATGGGGTGGCCAGGCCACAGTGCGACCCAAGGTGCACGGGTTTTTAATTATCCCTCCATCCTGGACGGTCCTTGGCCGGTCCCAGCTCCGGGCTCACGCAGGGCAACCAGGCTGAATCGGCAGAAGAGCAGCCACATGAGTTTGCCCTCATTGGTGTAAGCTAGTTTTAGAACTGTTTTACATTAAAACTGTTTTAAATTAAATTATATAAAAATGATTTTATATTAAAACTGGGACTGCTGAGCCCTGTGAGAACAAGGAAAACCTGATGTCATAGCTAATGCTATAAAGTGCAGTTTCCAGTGAGGGCCCAGTTTATACCTTTGCCATAGAAACAGACCTTGGCCCTGCGACCCAGCGCTGTGGGAGAGATGGGGCCGGATCCCCTGGGGGTCCCTGCGTACAGGGGGCCAGGCCCAAAATGCCCAGGGGAGGTCCCAGTCCAGACCCAGCAAACCCTCCTGGCAGCCAGGCACTGAGGGTCCACGGGGCTGGGGACCCCTCTGCTTTCTGTTTCATTTCCTGAGGCTGTGGCAGCCTCCGTGCCTGTGGACCCAGCGATGGGGCTGGGGTAGGCAGCAGGGGAACTGCCGGGGTCTCGGGTCACTGCGGGGGGAGAGGAAAGTTTTCTTACCTCTTGGTCTGGCATGTGAATACTGTGGTGCTCCGCGCTTGCTTTTGAAGTGTAGTAAACACAGTATTTAAAAGAATACATTTTTTTAAATACACAGCTTTTCTATAAACAAGGACGCTGCTTGCATAATAAACTAATAAAAATAACCTGCATTCTAGCCTGCAAAGAATGCTATTGGTTTCAAAACAAGCAGCATTTTATATGATAATTAAAAGCAGAAAACTCTCAAGACATGGGATTGAGTATTTTTCTTGGACTGAACTTAGGAGCTGAGAACACATCTCTATTTTGGGGGCAGTGAAATCTCCTGCACTGCCAGATATCGTTAACATAAGCGGGGTCAGAGCGAGATTTAGCTTGGGACGCAGCCTGGCTCAAAGCGCAGCACAGAATTACTCAGACAGTTTCGCTCCAGCAGCGCACGGCTCCGGGCCCTGCTCGTCCCACAGGGTGCCCGTAGCTCCGCGAGGCGGCACCACCAGCTCCAAGAGGGGACACGGGGAGGAGACGCTGGCCCACCCAGGCACGTGTCCCTCGTGGGTGTCTGCCCAGCACGGGCAGCAGGGCTGACGGACAGGGCTGGGAGGCAGGGGGCTGGTGGGAAGACAGCGCTGGGACTCTGTGTAGAGTTGGTGGCTGCTTCTGGGTCCCGCTCCTCACTGCTGCCGCCGTCGCGACCCTCGTGCCCGCGCTCGGCGCTGGTGCCTGTGGGCATCGGGCACGGGGCCGTGACGCCCGGCCGGAGCGGGACCGGGAGCCGCAGCGAGTGTGTCGGTGCAGCAGGACCCCAGCCCTCGGGCTGCCGCGGTCCCTGCCCTTGCTGCCGGTGGTGCCAGTGTGCTGGGGCTGAAGCCGGTGCGTGCAGAGCCCGGCCACGCGGGCGGGCAGGCACTAACTGCCGCCTCTCCCTTGCTCTTCCAGTTAGCACCGAGCTGAGTCAGGGCTGTGCCAGAGGCTGCGACCTGTGCTCCGAGTTCAATGGGTGCCTGAGATGTTCCCCCAAACTATTCATCCTTCTGGAGAGGAATGATATCCGGCAAATTGGGATTTGCCTACCATCTTGTCCACTGGGATACTTCGGCCTTCGCAATACAGACATGAACAAGTGCATCAGTGAGTACGGGAGTGGGAGGGAACGGGCGAAATGCGGGAGGGTGGCTGAGCTTTGCAGTGCTTTGCAGGGAATCGTGTTGCCTCCATTCAGGTGAGAGGAGATGCTGTGGCTGTATGGAAGGGGAGAAGGCCGTGCTGAGCAGGGCAATAACCCAGGGAATAACCCCATAATTTATGCTGATGATGGCTAACGCACCTTGAGTGCCCAGGCGCTTCCCCACCACAGCACGGTGCAGCTGGTGCAGCGTGCAGCCAGGCTGAGACACTCCTTCCATTTGAACAGCCGCTAGATACTGCCCAAACAGTGCCCTCAGAAGGAGGATAAGCATCCACTGCCTCCCCATCAGCCCTTCCATGCAGCTTTTGACTTGAGTTTTGGCCTTCGTGGTCTTTGAGAGCCTCTGTGGGTCTCTCCATGCTGCGGGCAGGTGGTGGTGGTGGACCAATGGTCCATTAGAGCAGAGGGCCACCGGCAAAGCCTTCAGGGCTGGGTTACCCTGTCGCAGCATGCTCAGCACCGCCCAGGTATGCTGTGGATGTGGCATCTTGCAGGGCATTTGGGAAGCTCTGTTACCTGGGCTGCCAGACTGGCACCCTCTTTCTTTGGGAGGAAGGAGAAGGGGGGGGATCCTTTCAGCTTTTAAGGTACTGCTCGCACAAGTACCTTTTCTTCTCTCCTGTGCCCATTCACCATAGCCAAGCAGCTCTCTGAACGAGATCCTTGGCCTGGGGCTGCCTCTTTCAGCCAGAGCACCAGAAAGAAGCTGGACATGGAAAAATGTGATCACTTCCCTGGCAGTTTCATGCAAATCACCCTCACGGCCAGATTTCTGTCTAACTCTGTTACTTTGCAGCCCATACTGTAGCTGCAGCTGGAGCAGTTGATACTGAAAAGGACTTTATTCTTTGCACTGTCCCACTTTGGCTGACTGATGCTCAAAGCAAACACCAGCCCAAACCTTTTCCACTCTGCCTGATTTCAAGCTGGCAGTGACTGCTGCTGGCTAGGAGAGCTGCAGCACAGTGGCTCTGTCTTGTATCAGGGAACGGTGCAAAGAAAACTGACTTCTATCCGAGTAGCACAATCAGGCCTGGCAGGACGTTCAGAGACTTGCCCTGGCTGTTGGCAGACCCCTTGGAGCCGGGAGTGAACTCCAGTTAGCAGTGAAGAGCTTCCTGAGTCTTTTGCTCACATCAGACTACATGATGGCTCTGTGGTTTTTTTTTTCCCCCAGAATGCAAAATTGAGAACTGTGAGTCCTGTTTCAGTCGAAACTTTTGCACAAAATGTAAGGAAGGTTTGTATTTGCACAAAGGGAGATGTTACGTCACATGCCCCGAAGGCTACTCTGCTGCCAATGGCACCATGGAGTGCAGCAGTCCTGGTAAGCGATGCTCGGGCACCTTTCGCTGAGCTTTGTGTGCGTCTGTCGGGTCCAGTCACGTGTATTGCTACAGTTTGGTTTAGATGATAAAACGAACCCCTCAGAGACGATGATGGCTCATTGTGCCTGTGTCAAGTGGGTGACAGTACAGGTCAGACCCAGCCCTTCAGAGTGCAGAGCCCTCTGGAGACCAGCCTAGGCAGGGAGCAGCACCCCAGTGTTGCTGCCGTGTGTTTGTGAAGTGTGACTCAGAGTTTGTGTGGTACGGCAAGGAAGGGGGTGCCTTGAAAACTTAGGAAGCAGCTGGGGAAACACACGTACTCTTCAAGCCTGAAGTGGGGGAGAGGTGCGATGGCGTGCAAGGGCTCCAGGAAATCCTGAGGCAGCAACGGAGAAACGAGAATTACTACTGGCCTCTCTTGTTATCTGGCAGCACAATGTGAAATGAGTGAGTGGGGGCCCTGGGGGCCCTGCTCCAAGAAGAGGAAGCTCTGTGGCTTCAAGAAGGGCAACGAAGACCGAACGCGGCGGATTCTGCAGGCTCCCTCTGGAGATGTGTCCCTGTGTCCTGCCACCACGGAGGTGCGGCGATGCACTGTGCAGAAGAACCAGTGCCCTGAAGGTGAGCAGATGTGGAATACCTCACCATACCTCCCCAGCACCCCTTATTTGTCAGGCACGAGTATTCAGCCAATTGTCCAGTACCATAAATGCACTGCACATCTCACTACCCCTCTGCGGTACAGGGAACACAACGTGACAGCAGCTAGAAGGACCCACGGGTGGGTGATGCTCAGCACGGCTTGCTGTGTGTCCCACAGGCTTTCAGGTATTTTAGCTTCTTCCCTGGCCACAGAGCAGTGAGGCAGCTGAGCAGCCGAAGAAGGTGCACGCCTGTGCGCTGCAGTGATGGGAGTCATCTTCTCCTCTACCAGAATGCTTAGGTCTGTGTTTTTCCCAGGAATTAGAGTGTCTTCAGGATGAATGGTGGTTTGGTCACCCTCTTATGGGATGGACAAGGCTTGCAGCTGGGTTGAGTATTTTGAGGGAAACCGGTTCTGAGCAGTGACTAACACCACAGGGATTACACAGGCGGGCAGGGGGAGGCAGACACGGCCGATCTGTTCCTCTGATGCACACAGCAGCGTGCGTTAGCTAAGGGGCTTGGTATGCAGCCGCAGAGAAATGCAAGTGTTAACACTTCTGCTGGAGACTGACAATTACAAAGCTAAACCCAGATTTGATCCTTCTTCCCTGTTTCTATTTAGGCAACAGCTCGTAATGCAAAGCACGGCCTGGCAGATAGGGCGGCTCTCGGGCACCTCTCTGCGTGGGGAGGGGTACAAGCCCTTCGGGCCACCCTCGGCAGCCGTGGGCCGCGGGCCAGCTCACTCTGCTGGAGAGCCTTATGGTGCCCCTTTGCTTTACTGCAGGGAAAAGGAAGAAAAAAGAAGAGCAAGGAAAGCAAGACAGTGCAAATGGGAACAGAAATCGGAAAGACACCAAAGATGCTAAGTCTGGCACCAAGAAGAAGAAGAGCAAACAGAGAGGGGCTGCGGTCCCCGCGACGTCCGCTAGCCCTGCCCAGTAGCTGCCCCTTTACGTCACCTGATGGCAAGACTTCATTGCTGCTATGTATATGAAAGCTTTATTGAACCAGAGCACTGCTACACAACACGTACACATGTCCAGAAAGACAGACATATACTCCCAGACCGACCCACAGACCCGACAGAAACCACACAGACAATAAGGAGGCTGCACACACACACACCCCACCCAGGATCGCAGAAGGATGCTGCTGAGAAGAGGAGTGGGAGTGCACATGGAGGGAAGCCCACCTCCCCAGGGCTCCGCGGGGGACGCTGCGGGGAGGAGAGGTGGAGTATGAGTCAGCGAAGGACCCAGACGCGAGACTTCATGACCAAAGGCCTCAACTCGAGACCGGGCGCATGGCCCCAGCGCAGCATGGCTGCAGCCAGAGGGACGAGACCGGGGCCGCACGGCCGCTCTCCCTGACGTGGGACCCAGACTCACACAAAGGCAGTGGCCTCTTTCTCTTCCCCCCCCCCCTTTATTTTGTGTTTTAAGCTGTATGACTTTATCATTGCGAATACATGTTAAACGTTTGTGGTAAGAGGTCAGTGGTATCTACCCTGAATCTGCTTCAAAGAGTTATTTCAAATTAAAAAACAAAAACCAAAATGACAACCAGCTTCCTGAGTGTGTGGTTCATGCCTTGGCCCCTATGGAGGCTGGTGTCCCACAGGACAGAGACTCACTTGTGGAAGGGAAACTCACCAAAGCTTTAAGAAAATCCCAGAAAATGTTGCCAGCTGCACTGCAGCCACAAATCAGCCGTCCTGCACTCGCAGGACCCCAGCTGTGCTCCGCAGAGCCCGTGAGGAATTTCCCACTGAAGGATCCAGTTAACATGCAGCAGATTGAGAAAATGAGAGGTTACAACAAACCGCAGGTTGCCGAAACATTGTGACTCCGCTTGTACAGTCACAGCTGCGGGACTCCATCCCGAGCTAGGGACACGCTCGTCCGTCTGCCCAGACACCACCCAGGCGCGTAGCAGGAGGGAAGGCAGGCGGGAGGGGGAAGGCACAGTTCGGGCTCTGCAGAAGAGAAGCAAACTTTTAAGTTTGGTAGAAACTACTGGTCTGCGTGCCACCGACTGGAATTCCCTGGATTCAGCCAAGTGCTCCTGCTCCGCAAGAGCCAACACCTGGGCAGATGAACCGGGATGAGGACAGTGCGGGACAGAGACGTAGTGAGACCTGCGCGGTGCACGTGAACGCTGCCTTCTCTGCACAGGGAGCTGTACCCTCGGCAGTGTCACGAGGTGGCATACCGCTCAGTTTCCCTTATATTTTAAAATGTGCTTCCTCGATATAAATATGTGCATACATTTAATTCCTCTAGAGTTCAGCAAAAGACCTCTGGTCCTGAGGGAGGGAGCCAGGGGAGGTGCTGTGGCTCCCAGAGATGTGCCCGGGGTGGATCAGTGACGTGCTGCTGAAGCTCCTAGCTTCCCTGGTAAGGTGATGGGCAGGGAAAAGCTCACCCCAAAGCTAGACCCGGCAAATACAGTCTCCGCTGCGCTTGCTTTCGTACCACCTTCTCCGCTCTGCGGTTTTGGAGGGCAGAGCGAGCCAGCGGCTGTACGGGGATGCCTGTGGGAGAGCCCCCTGCTCACGCTGACGGGTCGCCCGCCCATGCCCGGCAGTCCTGGTCCTCTCCTGCGAAGAGCCGGCAGTTCGTGGTGCCCGCCGAGGACTCAGCTCCGGCAGAGGACACCTAAACTCTCCCTTCGCCCCATCCGCGTTGCGGCTGGTTTGGCTCAGTGCAGAACGTGGGAGCTGCACAGTTGTTTCAGCTCCGGAGCTGTACCAAGCTCTCCGTGACTGCTCTGCTGGCAGCAAAACCTTTCAGCCCATCATCCACTTTGCGTTTAAGTAAACAAGAAGCCGTTATATCTTTTAAAGGGGATTCCATTTCAGCACAATGATAAACGACCAGCATACCAAGCAGAGAGAGAAAGGTTCTTCAAAGTCATCCTTTGAGTTGTTTATGGATCATGTTCAGACGATTCCTGAAAGCCTCCCAGCTGAAAGATCAGATCTCACTTTATTTTCTAGCCTCAGCTAGCCTGTGAGATAAGTATTTTGTTTGTGCCATGGCGTTGCATGTAAGCAGAACCGTTTTTCCCTTCCGCTTTTTAGCAGCAATAATCAGTAACCCTTTCATGAACCTCAGCTTGCTAATTCATAAACGACTCCTTCCTCCCTCCTGCTGCAGTATCTCAATCCAGTTCTCAACAAGGATTAGAGAAAAGAGAGAGTGCATTAGTAAGGTTTTATACACGGAGGCTCTGTTAACTGACTGGATTCCCTACAGTAACTCATGGCAATATTAGCACAACTATTTCAAAACTAAACTGCATATAATAAATCAACACAACCTATTTTATAGAACTCTCTAGAGTTTTTTAGAAAAAAATGACAAACTTCTTTCTGTTGTAGCCTCTTCCCTTCTTTCTTCCTTTTTCATAGCAAAATGGGAAGAAAAAGGGAGAAATGCAAAGGAAAGTTTAAAATGCATATTAAGAAAACCCAAGATTTTCCAGTATGGGTGATTTTAAAATTAAATTGTTTTAGAAAAACTAGGAGGAAAATATAAAAAATAAATCCAATTTCTTTTCTTTTTTTCAATCAGCTCAAGAATTGTGCTTATTCCCAATCCTAGAGAGTTGCTTCATTTATGAATTTAGAAATATTTTGCCTTTGACCAACGTGATTTGCACGCTGAGCTCAACAGTCCAAGCCGGAGATTTCCTTAGATAGGTTGATGTCGTCTCAACTCACACGCACGTGAACGCTCTCTTTCAGCCCACCAAATAAAATCTGTTGTGGTGTTCTCTCCATGGCATCACTGTAAAATATGCTTCTTTAAACAAATAAATAAATAAATGGGTTTGCTGAACAAGCTTTGTTTGCTTTATTCACTAAAACCAGAGTCAAATCCCAACTAATCAAAAACGTCTAGAGAGAGCCTCTCCTAAGCAACTTCTGTCTACCGTCCAGAAGCCAAATGTACCTATACGGATCATGGCATGAAAACATTGCTGCTCCGACTTCTGCGCTTATTCATGCTCTGTACTTCAACCACCTAGCTGCTGGAGTCATTTCTAGCTGCATAGACAGACAGATGGCTCCTTTGTCAGAAACTCTGTTGCACAGAAAACGTCTTCATTTTTACTGTTGAACCCACTGGTGTTGATTTACTGGACAGAATTCTTTCTACTCAAAATCTGCAGGATAGTTTCTAGGCAGTTTACTTAGCTTTTGGGCAATTCATCCCACGTAATGGGGAACAAAGGGCAAGGAGTAATATATTAACAGCTTACAATCATGAGTTTGGAACTGTTTAATTTCTATCTCATTTGCTGAGATTTAGGAGCTAAAGCAGACATATTTCACCAAACACAGGTTGGTTGTATTATGTTCTTACCCTCTCTGTGTAATATAAATGCGTATTTTTCACCGGCTACGGTCAAGTTAAACGTGTGCACACATAATCCTCAAACAATAATTTACTAGCTTTCTACCCCCCTGGAGATGGAGGCAATGTATATACTTTTTAGTTCATGTTTATGTTAAAATGATTTCTCACTCAGAAGAAATCTTAGCTTTGATTACAGGAAATAGAGTAGGATAGTGAAACAGGTTATCCCTAATACTATTATTTGGATTACATTGCCTGACAACACTAAAAGGGGTATTTTTTTATATATTTACAGATTTTATTAAGTCAATAGTCTTCACAGAGAGATGTTAGGTATACATTTTAAAAAAAACCCTCTATTGAAATTACAGAAATACCAGCTGTATTTAACCAGTCACCATAAATAAATCACACCCATGGCATTTATATACATGATAATATATTATACCCAACCAAATGCCAAACCATAGTTTAGATGGAGCTGCTTGCCAGAATCTCCATGATTTTTTGAAGAGCAGCAGGATCTTAGTGGAAAAAAAAAAAAAGGCAACCAGGTAGATAATACATTGTGATTTGCAGCACAAGCTTAAACACCCAGTTAGAACCTCATCTGCCATTCACCACTGAAACGGCCTGCAAAAGGCCACATCAAATCCTGTGACGTGCAAGGCTAACATGCATGATGCAACACGTGCAGCTTTCCAGAAAAGAAGTCACTTTTCGTGACTATTAAAATCAAATCACAGAAGTAAAACATTTATATGTAAATGCTTTAGCTTCCAGATTGCTAGTAAGCACTTAATCCCTGTGAGAGAGATCTGCAGCACTGCCGTCCATTCAGAGAGGAAAGCTCTTGAAAGGCTCTGGAAGGCTGTGAGAACCGCGCAGGACTGAGCACAACGTTCGCTCCGAGGGCTCGACCCTGCTGGGCACAGCGCAGCCCGCACTCCCAAAGTACTTTTTCACCTCTCTGCCTTTTTTGCTTGACTTCAATTTTCTCCTCCCTCCAGCTTTCCCCTGTTGCTTTCAGTCGCCATTTTGGGAACTCCAGATCCGAGGCAACGATATCTGGGATCGCTTTTGTTTTTTCCGTTAAGGAGCCATCAAACCTGGAACCTTTTGCCAAGGAGCCCTGCCTCCCACTCTTTTAAGCCATCTCCCTGAAAACCTATTCCTGAGGAAGTGAGTTGGGAAAACTACTGTGGTGATAAACCATCTACGGTATCTTCTGGCCATGCTTGGGATGATTTTGAAGGCTAGCTACGAAACCCAATTCTGTCCTTGTGCTCTGCGGGGAATCACTGCAACAAGGAGAGTAAGATGGCTGATGTTGCCTTCATCCTGTTAAATAAAACAAAGTAGCTCAATACCACACCGAAAAAGTGCTCCAAGTACAAGTCCAGTCTTGTTCTGAAGTCTTGGAAATCTATTTTTCCTTCATTTAATTGACAAAATCTGTAGATCATACAAGGAAGACAGCTCCTGCCAAAAATCAAACATCACTAGTTTTTAATAATACAATGGGAATAACCCCTTAGAACATATGTAATTATGGCAATGAGTCATTCTGATGGCATC